CAATTTTTTGTACGTGTCTTAACGGTCTAGTTGTAATTGGTAGTTTTATTAATGTTTTGTCATAGTACAATTGGAGTATAGTCGTACCTGTACCACTTTTGAAAGAATTGGTCCATTAGGGCATGGTATGAAATCTCTTGCACTTTAGAAATTTGTCCACTCACATTTTTTTACCTTGATCTTTCACCAGCAGTTGTCAGTTTTCCTGGTGGGAGGCTGTTTCTTTTCAATTATCACCATTGATAACATATGACTACAGATGTTTTTGAATATCCAAACAAAAACAAAAGATTTTGATAATGATACTTGTCCCGATACATCAGTTGTGGGAAAATTTTTCTGAAGTCTGTTAAAAGATGCTTTGCAAGGTCATTTAACAAAGTTTACTGGATAGTCATACGAGGAGAGGCTGAAATCTCTCAAATTGTTTTCTCTTGAAAAAAGAAGAGTTAGGGGGGATCTAATTGAGGTGTTTAAGATTGTAAAGGGAATTGATGGTGTTGATGCATCATCTTTTTTTATACTTAACATGAGAATAGTAGGACCAGGGGATACAAATATAAATTTGGGCAGGGTAGGAGTAATATTCAGTTTTATTTTTCTAAGAGGATGGTTGGCCTTTGGAATGGGTTGCCTTCCGATGTCATAGTGGCAGTAAATTCAAGTGAGTTTAAGAAAAAGTTTGATAATTATACGAATGAAAAGGGCTGGGTTTAAATTATTTTTTTTATTTCTTTTAATCATTTTAACTTAGTTTTGAGGATGGAACAGCTGAGATGGACCAATAGGTCCCATGTTATCCCAAAATATTGTTATATGATGTACTTTTGAAAACTGGAGAGATCCGATTTCATCCAGTTGTCTTGCAGACAATGTTATGAATACAACCTTGCAAGATGGAGGCATGCAGCCAATACTTCTCATGCTACTCTGAATATACACATAAATGGGAAGTTATAAAAAAAAAAATAGTAAATATAAAATGTAGCATAAAATGAGAATTATAGAAGCATTGTCAGACTTTTAAATTTCATGATCCAACTTATTGCTGTGGGTTATAATAATTTGTTAAAAATTAGAGTTTTTGACCTTTAAATTTCATTATTTGTTGTATTAATAAGCATTTATTACATATAATTCTCTGCTACCTACTAACACTATCCTTTTCAAAATAATTGGAAAATTTATATTTGTCAAGAAAGTTGAAATTCAAAGAAGGTGAGGTATTATATTAGCTATTGTTCAGGCATGGTTACTGTGTAGACCTAATGTAACAAGCTTGAGATTATTATTTTTGTATAAACATTAACTTAGGGACTTACTTTTAACTAACATGTGTAAGAAGTTAAGTTTAGGAATTTGTGTAGTTATAATTTTAAA